GTCCGCCCCCCCCCCCCCCCCCCCCCCCCCAAAAAAAAAAAAATCCAATCATTCGGAAGACTGCAGGGAAGACGGTACTCTTCGACGAATCATATTACATAATTCAACACGGTATCATGAGATATTACTGATGCATTAGTGCCGGAAACTGAAATTATTCATAGGGGGCGCTTCTCTATTGACCCCCCCCCCCCTCCTATTGTCTTTTTCATTTTCCATCTGCAGTAAAACCTGGAGATCCATTTGGCTGGCCTCAAACAAACATATTTGTGAAGTTTTTTAATATTTAAAAATAAAATTTCGAATCTGGAAAAAGATCCCTCTTGCATCCACCACTGTGATGCATCATCAATCTAAAGGCACCTTTCATGGTTTTGATTTTTTAAAATCTTATTCATCGCCATACGGAAGAGGAGGCGAAGACTGACAATTGGCTGCACTCAATGGAAACTCTCTGACGAGTTGCCAGACTGAACCCATGCAGCCACAAAAGACGACATGCGTGGGGAAGAAAGAAAGAGGGTCAAGAAAAATTGGGCGGTATTTTCTGGCCCGAAGGACAGATGCGATGCAAAGAAGGCGGAAACGAGGCAAGAAATCTTCAACTTACCGAGGTCGGATACATCTTCGTTCCTTTGTATATTAGGCCCATTAAGATGAAAAAAACGGCAAGGGTTCCCATGTTCCTAGGATCCCAGACAGTCTGGATGAGGGGAATGGAGCCCAGTTGCCAGTCGTAGCTCAACGTGAACGGGCACAAAAGGAGCCAAAAGTTGTGGGCTGCCAGATAAGCGTATGTCATCACCCTGCCAAAGAGATTCCATGAATCATTAAGTCAGCATGAGTTCCTGATCGGTGATCATGACGATAAGAGGACTGGAAATCAGGGCTCTAAGTTGCATAGTGAGTCCAGCAATTAAAGAGGGATTAGGAATGAGACTAAAAGGAAGGATATTTAAGGAGGAATAAAGCAGTCCCCATAACCAGGCAGGTTCTCGCTTTCCCGACAAGACACCCGGATGCGACGGCAAGCCTGCATCCCAGGCTGAACATATCTTTGCTCTTCCGCGCCCGTTTTTCCTAACGCCCCCAATAACTCCGATGCCTCTTCTTCCTCTCTCCTATAGCATAAAGCCAGTCAAGTGACGTTTTATAGGCCTGAACACGTTGAATGAGTCTGGAGGTTAATAGCTCGTGAAAGAGGCTCAGCGCCCCGAATGATGGGGAGAGGGGAGAAGCATACTCCAGATAAGGTCATTTCTAGAGCGTATCCCTCTTCGATCCGATAGGTTTTCTTCCGTCTTAGAAGTGAGACATCGACCGAGAAATCTTTTACCTGGTCAGGGGATCGGTGGAAAAAGAGGCAGGGTTATCTTGTTCCGAGAATCTGGGCAAGGATCCGTTGAGCATCCAGGCTCTAAACGTGAGGAGGGCCATTGCCTGTGAAATGATGCAAACACACCTAATTGTTGAATGTCTTAGTTTTATTTAAATGATTTCTGCTGAACTCACCGTCGCTAGGACGACGGCAAATCGCTGGAGAAACAGGGGTGAATTCACGTGCGTTCGTCTCATCACGAATTCCCTGCTGGGAACACAGAAACACAATGGACGTGATCTCATGAAATAAGCGTCCGTCAAGCCTTGATGCGAAGCATGTAATAAAAACAAACGATCTTTTCCAGGTCATGATGAGATTAATGGGAGAAAGAATACAAAAGTCTTTTTGCCGTAAGATCAGAGTTGTCCAACTGCACCTGCAAGACTTCCCGTTGACAAGAATGTCGTAGATGGGAATGATGCCCAAAATGGTAATTGCGGGCTCTTTGGCCAGCATTCCAAGAGCCCCTGCACTCAGGCTCCCCATCAACCAGAGCGGAGAAGAGCTCATCAAAAACCTGCCCCCCAACAGAAAACGACCGTGAATAACGTCCGAGGAATATCACTATTTGCGAGGTTGTCGGCGTGCGGCTGTCGTGAAAATGCCTCATAAATTACATGTGAATATCCAATGGAGTAAATGCCTTAACGCTGTGATTTCTTCGCGAAAAGTCTTGGTAAGGAGATTGGCGCCAACATTCATGAGATGCTCTTCTCATTAACGTCTTCCTCTTCAAATGTTATTTGAAGTGGAAGACGTTAATGAGAAGAGCATCCTTTATTTTTGAATCTTCCTCATCTTTTATTCATTTAGTCGTGCTAGGGCTCCTATAATTTCATTCTTTAAATGGCTACGCTATAATCGATCAGCTATCGCGATGGAAAAGAGGCATCTTTCAACATGGGATCGATCAAAGGAGATAGGGGAGGAGGGGGGGGGGGGAAATACAGAGTGACACTTGAAATAAAATTGCAGCCACGAATCGCAAGATATTCCTCATAGAATAGGTAGAAGGAAGAACGCTGAACGAACCTATGGTAGCTCCCGAGCGCCAACAAAAAGAAGGTGCAGCTGAGTAACTCGCAGCGTCCCACAATCCCAGCAACCTGGCAAAGAAACACGATCATGGTGCAGGAAGTAAATTCCGAGTGAGAAAAGTGGTCGACTGGGGTATTCTCACTCTCCTTTTTTTCTTTCAAGTCTGGTAGATTTGTGAATCATTGAGTTTTAAAAGGTTGCTCTCTCCCTACGGAAGAAATTTATTTGCTTCTCCTGACAAATCATAAAATTTACGCTCCCTGAAATGCAATGGTTCAGACGATCCATGGAAAACGCTCTTTAAATCTCTCCCCTGATGAATCGATTTGACTTCCTCGAGGTTTTCGAGCAGGGAAGGTCCGAAAGGAGTCATACTTAGTTAACAAATCGTCAGAGTCTCAATAGTAGAATCGGTACGATTTAAGGAGACAACAAAATGGCGGCACGAGCATTGCCAGATTCTTCTTGTTTCCAAGGTCAATATCTCCCGAGTCCGTCTCACAGGAAAATGAATCAGAAATTTCTCAAGCATAAAATCATCTGAAAGGGAAAAGACGCGAGAAGAAAGGCATGATTCGATCCACTCACAGCCTCAACATGAACGGGATGAAGGGCGAAGAGAAGAGAGGCAACGAGTGCGGCCGGTCCACGGAATCGGAGCACAGAGCGGGAAATCTCGTGAAAGAGTCCCGTATTCACGGCGTGCAATCCCACGTTCACGGCGTGGAACCCAAAAGACGTGCACCCGTGCACCAAAGAATTCAACCTGCCACGACCGCAAACAGTCCCATCATTATCGTCGACGAGAGAAAGACAAGAGATCCTACATTTCACTCGTTTCGTAGAGGGTAGCAGACAGTAAGTCTATTAATGACCTCTATCCATTCTCGCATCTATGCTGAGTTTTCAAAAACTTTCAGCATCTATACAATACATCTATGGCGCATCAGTGTCACTACTTTGACCAGGCTCTTCCCGAACTTTTATCTATCCCCTTCCTCTTCTGTCCCCCCCCCCGCCCTATCTCCCCTCCTCCCGAGCAGTTCCTCTGCCGAAGCCTCGAAGAAATAAACTCTAGATTCAGTCGAGGCACCAAACGTTTCTCACGAGACTGTAGAAGGAAATGAAGACTACCAGACAGGAAACAGAAAACCACCGACACACCCTGATTCGTGCAAGTTCGTATCGGGATTGGCAGTTATTCGGGCGCTTTTCCATGCAAAGCCAGTCGTATCGCAAAATCTCCAGACATTCAAAATATCATTTCCATGCAAATTCTGTCCTTTTCTTCTCTTTAAATGTCCTTTTCTTTTTTCCTTCTCATGCGTTTGTCGTCGTGCAAGGCCCATATGCCGTAAACACACACTTTTTAGGATGGAAACAGAAGTTGAAATACATGTTACTTACTGTGAGCTAAAACTTTCCTTCACAGTTAAACATTTCCTTAAATTGGAGTAAAGCCGAATTTATGAGCAGAAACCCTTTTCAGAGTCTCTTCTCCCGACATACCCTTGTCCACGGTAACAGAAGTAAATTATGATGGTATTCACGGTCACAAAGGGAAGGAAATGATAGAACGCCAGGGACTCACTCAATGACTATTCATGATGAATGGGGGAAGGGGAAGGAGGAAGAATCGCGAGCTTCGCCCTTGCCCTTGGCCTTCTAGCACTAAAATCGACATCGACGATGATGCATAGAAGATCCGTCTGGTCTCGCGGAATCCTTGAAAATGGCTTTCCACGCTTACAAACATACCTATATTCCTCAAATTGGAGTTCCTATACCTAAACCTACGCAAGAAATGGAAATATTTTCCTGTAGCGCTTCCTTTACCCATCCCTACCCATACCCATGTCGGTTCGTATGCGTTCTGTTCATTTTTCAAAATGAAACATATCACATGAATTTCGCACAACTTAGATCATAAATTCATCAGAACATCAAGATCTGTTACTGCATGGAAGTACGTCTTGTAACTTAAGTTCATTTTTTTATTTATTTAAGACATTGCGTACAAACAACGGCTTAGAACAGAGGCGCTAGAAGATTTTTGTCGAAGTGGATCATGAATAAATAGTTATCTGAAGAGTTCCCAGCAGTTTTCCCTCTCTTTTCACTCATGCACTCGAACTTAAGCATCCATGAAGAAAATTATTGTTGGATCAATAGAAACCATCTCTAAGAGAAGAGTGTGTCTACGATTGGAATATGAATTGTCCTTTGCGTTCTACGGCCAAATCAGATCCTTTTTCAATGCGGACTAAAGCGTAGCATACAAACCGCCATAACGCCATAAGGCATCATGATGCACAGTTTCAAAGTCATCAAGTCCCTGAGTCACCTGGTATCATCAATGATCATTCTGCCTTTCCCACAAACTCAGCGTGACGAACGTCAAGAATATGGTAGAAGAGAATATTGTCACCCAGCCAAATCGGTCTTCTGGCCAGAGACTGTTTTTCATTTTTGCTTACCATTTAGGGAAAAGGCACGGGTTATATTGAACGTGCACGATTGCTCAGAAAATCATCTTGACACAAAATGCAACACGACGGACAGTCGTCACATGAACTGCAACGCGGCATGAAGACATTCATTATGACCATATGAGATATTCATGCTCCTTATTTTCATCAGTCATCTTCTGTACTTTTTGTAATAGTATATTCCTATTCCTATATTCGCCCTAGCCCTTTCGAATTCGTATCAATATTTGGCAAAAGATTTTAGATGTGCCCTACTCATATACTTTTACCTATTCCGTTACTCAACCATGTTCACAAATGACCTGAAGGTGAAGGTGACGAGAGGACGGTAGGATTTGTGCGACAAGGGGTCGGCCATGGATTTCCCCCAGAAATCATTTCGGAAAACGTTCCACCAAGGAGTTTCGGCTAAGGCGTCTTTGTTCGAGACGATGGCACTCAGGTCGTCATGGACGAAGTCCCCCGTCAGAGAATTGAGGTAGACGAGAATAGAGAGCAGAATCGGGACGAGAAGAGCACTTGGATCGGAAGACATTGCGGGAGCAGGGTTCCATTGAAGCATCTGCTGTGGGGAGCACGTGGGCACTGCACTAGCACGGACTGGGAAGAGACTGGGCCGGATCCGGAAATCTGAGCCCGGTCACCTTTTTCCTGCCTTGCGCCTCCCGAGACTCCGTCTCCCTCAATGATCATCCCTGTTACTGGCATTGATTCCTCCGCCGTCAATTGCAATCGACATAAATCACTTCCCTTTTCGATGTGCTTCTAACTTCCTTGCCTCTCGTCTTCATCACGGCGTGGGTGCGAAAGGGGAGTTCATTATGCCGATTCGCATGCTCTTCCTCGCACTCACGAATATGATGGATAGTTATGGCCAGACTATCCCTCTGGGATTCCCGGCAACTCAATTGCCCTGTCACATAGACATAATCATCTTCGCTTCAGTGCCGACTCAAGAGAGATAGACTATCCCTGGTATATTCAGGATGCTTCTACTTATATGAAGCCCACTTTTCAGCTCAATGCACTCCCCGAGGAAGCTCCTACGCGTATCTTGTAAGCGAATGAATACCTGCAACGCTCTTTCAGGGATTTTTCAGATGAATAACCACAGGCGTCGGACATGGCCTAGGTCTGGTGTTAGTTTCTATTAAACCCACACAATCAGAAACTCAATTTTATGCTCAGTTCCTACCAGTTCAACAACAATCAATTTATAATTCAAAATACGAGATACGAGGGTCACTCAATAAGTTATCTACCTGAATAAGAAAGAAACATCCGAGGGGAAAAATAACACTTTATTTTTCAATGTAGTCACCTTTTAACTCAACACACTTATTCCACTTTGATTCCAAGGATTTCATTCCTTGGGAATAGAAGTCAACTTCTTGTCCATCAAACCAATCAGAAACGGCAACTTTCAGCTCTTCATTGCATGAAAATCTTTTTCCCCGCAAAAATTTTTTCAAGTGTCTGAACAGAAAATAGTCACTAGGAGCCAGATCCGGGCTGTAGGGAGAATGGTTGAGCTCCTGAAAGCCACATTCCCTCACTGCTGCCTGAACTTTCCATGATTTGTGGACGGGCGCGTTGTCATGGAGAATGACAACTTTCCTCTGCGTTTTTCCTTGATGGCATCATGTAAATTTTTCATGGTGGTAGCATAGGAATCGCCAGTGATTGTACACTTGTCTGGCATGAACTCAAGCAGCAGTAGTCCCTCGCTGTCCCAAAACACAGTGGCCATAATCTTTCCTGCAGATTTCTGAACACGAAATTTGCGAGGCGTTGGCGATCCCTTGTGCTTCCACTGCATGGACTCCTGCTTGGTTTCGGGATCCCAGTGATGAACCCAAGTTTCATCACCAGTTACTATTCTGGGAAAAAAAGTTTCCCCGATTTGTTTAGAAAACTCCAAGTTTTCCTTGCAGATGTCAGATCTGTTCTTCTTCTGAGCTGGAGTCAGCATTCTTGGGACCCATCGAGAACTGACTTTGGACATGTGTAATTTTTCATGAATAATGTGAATCACTGTGCCCTCTGAAATCCCCAGTTCATGAGCTAAAACAGAGACTTTGGTGCGACGATCCTCCAGTATCGCACTCTCCAATTTGTCACACATTTCCTGATCAGAAGCCTCCACAGGGCGCCCCGACCTTGGGTCATCTTCGATTGACTCTCTTCCCCACTTAAACTGCTTGCTCCAAAATTTAACTTGGTAATAAGAAGGCGAAGACACACCATAAACGTTAGACATACGTTCATGAATCTCTTTAGGTGCTTTCCCTTCTTTGGTGAGGAATTTCATCACTGAACGATGTTCAACTTTCGTCAAATCCATGACACAGACTCAGGAAAAGAAATCTAATGCGCTACCACTTTGAACGGACTTGAGCCACTGAGCTGGTATAGTGGTGGGGCACTCACGAGACCTGTCGAGACATGTCACAGCAGGCACAGGCCTGTTGCTCATCCCTTTCATATTCAGGTAGATAACTTATTGAGTGGCCCTCGTACCAAATGTAGCTTTCCAACTGCACGCATCCCGTGGGTAAAAAGAATTGTGAATATCACTCACTGCGTGGCTATTACATGTCCGCGGATGGGTTCATCCCCGTGAAGGACCTCTTGCCTGCTGTCTGCATAAAAAGAGATCCATTGATGGAAGAGGGCCACTTCATTCTCAGCATTTATCTTTCTCAGGCCATAGAATCTCGTTCCATTCCCGTTGCCAACCGAGAGCTATGGCTCTCATCAGGTCAATGAATCATCTGTTTTGATCCGAAAGAGAGATGGCACGAGAAATATTGGTTGAATTGATGCGTGGAAGTGCTCTTTTGGGGTCATCTTTCCCCTCCGATCATTTATCATCAGTACGGATTACTCTTGATGGAGCCATAATGCACCGCAGGGTTGAGGCGAAGACTTGGGATTGAGACGTCGATAATATCAGAGCCATCACCGATTTCACGAGAAAACCCCTTTCAGGTGGCGAGACTTCTGATTAGTCCCGTAACACGGACAATTACAAAGTGAAAAGTGAGAGATGGGAACTCAGAGTAACCCGACTTAATGACTGCCTCATTATACTTTTTTTCCTCCCTCTCGTTCCTCGTGAATCGACGAAACACATCCAAATCGAATATCCCCCGAGAATTACTTCCTTAAAAGTATGTATTCTCCTTTCCCAGGGCAACTCTAGAACATGAAATAAGTGTGCTCTGGAATTGTACTCCAAAGCGCTCCTCAGTGAGAAGTGAATTCAGGCAAGCACAAGATAAATATCATTTATTCCTCTCTTAAGAGTCAGAATGAAAAAAATGGTTGGAAGACCACAAAAAAATAGCACTAAAACACAGCTAGCAATTTCAAAATTCAAACAATGTAACAGCAAGCAACACAGTTATGGGAGACGTCTGATCGTGAATTATTGATGAACTGAGACTGGTGGAGATCATGGAATACCATCTGCACAATAATCATAATAAATAATGAAGGTGCCTACAAGAGATGAAATAAAGCATCTTCCACATCCCTATGACTTACAAAATGGCAGTTACTCTTCAATGTTTGTAGAAATTTTCCTAGACTGAACTCATCCTTGTTCATCAGGCATTCTTCTAAAAATACAAGCAGTATCAAAAGCAAATAAGGCTGCCAAGTTAAAGAATTTCTTTGTTCCTATAAACATTCTACCAGATTGGCTCTCATTCCTGATGGGTAGGAGTGTCTGCAATGGAATAAGCAATAGGAATGTCAGCAGAGTTTACCAATATCCTACAAACACTGCAGTTGTTCAAGAAAAATCCAAAGCCTCCTTTCATTCTTCTGCAAAAACTTAAAGTGGAGGAACCAATGATATGTCTCCTAGAACCTACAACCCTGAGAATTTCCAGGACAAATGGGCTTCAATGAGTTTCTCTCTAAAAACAAACCCATTGAAAGATAAGTTTTGTACTGTGGGGACAGCTGGCAACTAAATAGAGCAGTAAACCTTTCAATTTGAAATCCATTCAAGAGATACTAAGGAAATTCTTCAAAAGAATCACAATTCATTGCAATTCCAGATCCAAGCTCTCTTTTCATGAGAAACACAAATGGGACAAGCTGAACAAACACCTGAGAGCTATACTACACAACAACAAAAAAATTTAATTGGCTCAGTTCTTTCTTGTTGAGGAAATCTGGCATGGGAATGACTAGAAATGCATCACGGGGAGGCATCTCAGAACCTGAGAAAAGGCCCTAATTCACTTTTTTCTCATGTTACCCATTTCTGACAATGGGACTGAGGTCAGCAAAGTATGGCTGCTGCATGGCTTCATCAGCAGATATCCTTCCAGCTGGGTTGCACACGAGCAATTTCTGCACATGGAAAGAGGTTGCAATGAGAAATAACCAAGCATTTAAGCCAATTGAGTCAAGTCCTATTGCAAAATCTTACTTGTAAGAGATCCCGCCCTCTTGAATTCAGCTTTGGGACAACTTGCGTCCAAGGCATTGATGGTGGATAAAGTGGAAAGGGCTTGTAGTCAGGTAGCTGAGTCACTCCAGGCCATGTTTCCTCTGTTGGTGTACCAAGAAGTTTGAATATTCGCTTCAGCTGATCATCAATGTCACTCCCAGGGAAAAGAGGTCGACCAACATTTGCAAGCTCTGGAAAGTATAGAAGGATAATAAGTCAATATGTCTTGTGCAGATGCTTAATTGCTCATTTGTGAGTGCCAAGGTACTTACCTGCAAATATGCAACCAGCAGACCACATGTCGATTGATGTAGTATACAATTTGGCACCAAACAAAACATCAGGTGGCCGGTACCAGAGAGTGACCACCTCTGCTGAGTAGCAACGCACAGGAATTCCAAATGCTCTAGCCAACCCAAAGTCAGCCAATTTCAATTCCCCATTCTAAACAACAAAATCAATGATATAAGATTTCTCATTTGGCAATGCAGTTGATTTGTAAATATCCTCATTACTTTGTTTATGAGTAAATTTTGCGGCTTCAGGTCTCTATGCAGGACATTATGACTGTGACAGAAAGCCAGGCCTCTCAGCAACTGATACCTGCTCAAGGAAAGACAAATGAATCACTTCCATGATGCATTCACACCATAAGAGGCACAAGATTTTTAAATTTTATGCCACTTACATGAATGACTTTACAACATCTGAGTCAATCTCTCCATTGAGACTGTCAAAGTACTTTTTCAAGTCTTGATCACAATGCTCAAACACAAGGGTGAGCTTCTTTTCACTATGCAGCACATCATGCAGACGCACAATGTTCCTATGCTGCAGTTCTTTAAGAAGACAAATTTCCCGAAGAGCAGAGGAAGGGACTCCTTCGTCATCGTCATCAAGGCGAACCCTTTTGAGTGCCACTATCTCATGTGTCTCTCGATTCTTGGCTTTGAATACTGTCCCGTATGTCCCTGAAAAAGTCATTAAAATAAGGACCAGTTCTCTTTTTATATTTTGGTATGACAGTTTGCAAATGACTTCTAGCAACTTATGGTTCTTCTCAAGCATTAGTGTTCAAGTCAATTAAAAAGGTATCAAACTTGAACTTAAAAATTCCCAAGTCTTCATTCTATGGGGATAATGTGGAAAACTGTTGCATCCAAGAAATGTAGGAATTTTTTTATGAATATAAAAAACGAATAAATCAAACTAACAATATGGACATCTTTTATTTAGATTAAAAAAATAAAAACTACACTCTTGCTTCTGGTCTGGTATTCTTTTGTCTTTTCCCATGAAGTCAGAGAAGATGAGAGAAAGAAAGAAAGTGTCAAAATATGAAGAGCAACAGGGGGGATGGAAAGACCACAGCATGAAATAGAATTATTTTATTTTCTGGATTCTTTTTTTTAAATTATAAATTATTTAACCATTTATAAATTACTTAATTTAATCATTTAATCAATTAAAATCTTCTGCATCTGTGTTAAATCTGAAAATGTTCACCAAATATCCATAATTATTCAACAACCATGATTCTAATGGCCATGACAGAGCTTTCAGAGAGATTTTAGGAACTATGAAGGAAGATATGGGGAATCAAAAATGACTCCAGGTTCAGACATAAACTTTTGCCACTGAATCCCCTCATTATTTTGCTAATAGCATGAGCATAAATGCAATTTAACTAGCAGCAGAATGAAGTGAAAAAGTTTCACACAAGATACAAACAAGATTTCTAGCCTAGATATTTCATCACAATAGTATTTTAATACTGCATAATTAAAAACCTAGCATCAGTGAGCTGAGAAATTACTTAAAAAATCATTTGGAAGGTCACAATAAAGAATAGGATTGTTTGCAATGTCCACTTGAGTCCAAGAGTCTCAATGAGAAAATAAGCCTGAACACGGAAGGACAAGGCCTCCTTGAGCACATAGCCATATATGGTAGAGGAGAAACAATGGGAGTGTGAAGAGGGAATAAAGTAGTTATGAAGAATAAAGGTAGGAGCAGGAGAATAGAAGGGAATGACTGGATGTGGTATGGTGGCTGGCTAAAAGGATGGATGACCATCCACTCCATTTCATGTTGGTCTGAGAACAAGTTTATGAATACAAAATGTATTTTGTACACTTGATTTATATCATACTAGCCACTGATACCCCTAAAGGTCTGAATTTTGAAACACCACCTAAGCTATGACCATCCCCAGACCAAATGGGGAAGCCAAGCAAAGTTTGGTCAGACTGGGATCGGAGGTATGGCTGTTTATAAAGGACAGACACACACACAAACAAACACTCTGAAATATAAGTAGCATAGGTTTCATGAACTACTTCCAAACTCAATAGGAGTCACTTGTATCACATTTATGAATTACAATTTAAATGTTGGAAGATTTGAGGAGTTTTATTCCCACAACTGCTGATAAAAACTTAGCACTGGCTTATAGACATCTCAGTGATTCCCTAGGGAACCTTGCTGATTCTAAATCAAATAAAGTAAATACACCAAGCTGTTGAGGACTAGAATAGAGCGTCTTACCTTCTCCAATTTTCTCCAGCTTTTCATACTTCTGCATCTGAAAGGATGATAAGGAAGAATACTTTGAGGAATCAGTTATAATGCAGCATTTTTATGTTTAGTACTCTTGCAACTTAAAGAAATGACCGGCATTTTTGGCTAGAGTTCATGTTAAATTGAAAAATGCAGACTATTCAATAATCAGATTGGATTTTAATCCAGACACAATAAGCTGATGATTTGATAGTAACTGTAGAATGAAGAACCACTTCGAGATTTCTATGCCTCTAGTAGCATAATTGTTTATTTATTGGGTAGTGAAATGAATAGAATGCATTAGGTGAGGATCTAATGGATGCCCAGAAGATATCTTTAAAAAGAGGATAGAATAAAAATTATTTCACCCCAATCCAAACTTGATAATAAAAAAACTGTCGATGGAGGCCTATCATAAGCTAAACAAATTATCAAAACAACCACTGCAACTGCACATATAACTAAGCGTAACCTGCACTACAGATTTTCTGCTCGCTTCAAAATGTCATAGGTCGGACATTTAAATCGTTTGAATTTGGTCGGTTAAGATGGAGTTCAAGCTCCGCCTTTCATTTTTTTTTATTAAGTGATCAGTTCACATCCACAGACTCGCATCCACTTCTCGCCATGACACCTTTTCTATGAGGCGAAGTTTCCAAAGGAATGCAATGGCAGAAATGTTGAAAAAAAAATTAGGTTAGGCTGAACAGAATTTCCTACTTTTGGTCCAAAGCACTAAGTAAGACGGTGAGCCAATCACAAGTGAACACACATTTTCACTGGTTATTGCGGGGGGCCATAGATGTAAGCCGCAGCACTCATGCGCCCGTGGTTGTTCGCTGATGGCGCCATGCGTACTCCTGGCTCTACACGTGTTAAAATTGAATAGGGCCTAAGCTTTTAAAGGACTGTATTTCTACCATCAGACGTTACTAGAGGAAACACTGAAAACTGCATTCAATATGCCACAGCAACACATAGATTTCTTGGGATTCGGTTATGCCGCTGTTGTGGCCGTCGGCGGCTTAATCGGTTATGTCAAAGCAGGTAAGTCATTAGTAGGGCTAAATTCCCCTGCACGCCCCTGTATTGAGAGAGGTCATGCTATCCTTCAGCCAGTCTGTCAGTTTTTCTGCATTCACAAACATTTATTCCTTTCTGGTAGGGAGCATCCCATCTCTGGCTGCTGGGCTTGCATTTGGAGGCATTCTTGGTGCTGGGGCATATATGACGTCGCAGGATAATTCCAAAGTTTACTTCCCCCTTATTACATCTATCGCCCTGACTGGATTGATGGGCTACCGATTTTATAATTCGGGGAAATTCATGCCTGCTGGCTTGGTGGCCACTCTTGGGTGAGTTGTTTAACATGAAAGCTGCTGTGAGCTCCCCAGGATTGCCTCAAGGTATGGGCCAGAACAGGATACCAAGAGGCATTTCTGGTCATATTAACATCCTGAGCTAAGGTTGAGCAATCATCCAAACCCCTCCCAATCAATATGCCTACCACTGTGAAGATGAATGTTTCTGGTGAAAAACTATCACCTGTAAAGTAACTTCTATATTACTCACTTTTGTTTGTTTTTCTTAATCTCCTAAAGTTATTCCTAGAAAGGGGCCACATCTTTACCTAACAGGTTCCATGAATTCCCTACCTGACTAGTAAAGGGAATCATCACATAACTTGTCTTGCTTGAGGCCTATGCCACACTCTGGACTATCAAAGCCCCTTAATAATAAGTGCTTTGATGCTATTCCCCACCTGTTTACTTTCTCTCCAGAAACTATTATCTCTATATTATAATTGTGTCTAAATGTTGTTCATGAAAGTTCCCATACCTTCCCTATAATTCTAATAGCCTGCCCTTGTACTCATTTTCATGGCTAGAAGTCTCTTTTAATTCAGACCTTCATAATTTAAAACAATACTGCAAATGGGGCCATATCAGTATTGTAAGTGATGGAAGAATGATACACAAGCTCTTTTTGTCAATTGATACAGCCTAAAATCCTGTCTCATTCTGCTATTGTTACCTGCATGTGCTCAGACAATTTGAACCCCTTGTTGATTATACCTCTTGATACCTACCCAGTCATACCTTTGGGGTTAACCACTAACTCTCACTTCTTTTTTCAAGCCTCAATGTTGACTCCTGCTGTTTACATACAGAATAAAACACCTTGGGATTATTCTTCACATTATTGTCAGCCCCTCTCCAACTTCCTGCTTCCTAAACTTCATTTCCCTTTCAGGCAACCTGTGACTCAATATTCCTCCTGTACCACTCAATCCTTTGTGTGCCGATACAAATCCCACTTCTTGTTCTTACTCCTGCTCAAGGACTTGTACATCCTTGCTACATGTAAACCAGACTGGCTAAGGAATCTTTTTGAATCCTTATGGTGCAAGCCTTCATAAAACCTAAAAGAACCATCTTGAATATTTCCCATTAGACCTAGCAACCCTGCCTTCCAGACCTACATAAATCAATCCCTTTAGCCTGTCAAAATCCGTTTTCCCATGGTTTTTATAAATTCATTGTGTCTTGTCTTTTTTGGTATCTCCAATGATTACGTAATGATCCAATTCTCTCAATTTCCTTAAACATTCAACTATAACATCAAGTGCCAAAAATTGTCATTTGTTACAAAAACTAAAAAGTACTGCATTACTGAAGGTTTCTTTTACATGCTGCCCATGCAGAATTGTGGGGAATTAGGAACCATAGTTCATGCATCAGAAGTAGGGTATGGGCCAATCACTGGAATTTTAAGGCTCATTTGTGAGGTGTAGGTTAGAGCTACCAGGGCTTTGTTCTCTATGGCTTGCAGAAAGTAGGGTAGCTAAATGGTTTTACCCAGTATGTATTACATGTTTTACTTGAAACATTTTTACAGTTAGTTATTAGAATGGAAAGAATAATAAAAATTCCTCTTAGAAGAATTTTAGATCAGTCTCTTTCAATTGATGATGCTTTTCACTTTTTACTTGATTCGACATGCATGTAGCTGGCTGAACTTCTCTAGCACCACATTCCCACAATAATTTTGTTTTATGTCAACATGTTAGACTCGAATGAAACAGTACTGAACTTGGCCAATAAAGAATGTAGGATGCATAGATATTGAAAACTGTACACCACATTGCTGTATGTTTGAACAAGGAAATAACCTTGTGTTTCATTTTTTTTTGCAAAATTCATGAAAATCTGAGCAAGACCATGTGAGGAATCAGAAATATCTCCGATGTAATCATAACTTGGGATTATGATAGAACAGCTAGAATCATTCTGGCCAAATCAGGAGTTTGGCACTCCTAATTCTACTCTACTTCTACCTAAGTATTATAGCAGATACTCAAGAGTTTTTAAAACCCAACCTTATATGCTCTAATTTAAAAAAAGAAATACCTTCTCTTACAGTGCATTGATGGTGCTGAGGTATGGAATGATGGCTGCAAAAAACTGACTGGATAGGATGGTTCCTGTGATCATGTGATTCCACATCCCTTGAGGACTTGGGGTTATATTGAACCTGTAAGGAAGTGACTTCTTGGCTGAAAGAACTCATTAACTGGGTAACACCTCTAAAGACATTTTGTCACCCATATGTAATAACGTGAGTTACAAAAAACTTCCCAGTTAATGGGTTAAGAGTCAACCTATAGGTTGTGTATCCGTATCTGACAAGACAACTAGAGGATGTACAAGAGGCATTCAAAAGTTTCTGGCCCCAAGACACTTCCAGTTTTAAATACATCATTATACATATAATACATTTTTCTCTGTGTAACCAAAGAGTCAGCTAAGGGGTATTAAAATGGAGATGAATGCTGTGATGTATTTTCTAAACTTAAAGGAGTTGATCTCCTAGCAGATCGTTTAGGGGAGGGTCAGTAGGACACTATCTTCTCAGCTGCAGAAAGATCATCCCAAATATCAACTCCTTCAAGGTTAAAAATGTCATCACAGAACTCATCTCAATTTTAATATCCCTTCAGCAGACCCTTTGGTTGCACATTGAAAAAAAATCTATTGTAGCTGTCCATTTACAAATGAGATGAGATTTTGCTAGTCTGCATCAAATACATATGTCTTTCCACAAGAAAAGTAATAATGGTGTATTACAGTTGGAAGTTTCTCAAACTGGAAACTTTTTGAATGCCCCTTGTACTTCATTTGTGTTCACTCTCACGTAGCAAATTGAAATCCTTTTCTGTATAAAATCTGACTTAATTTGACATGGTAATCCTCTGTAGGCAAAAGAATATCAGTTCTTGAACAATAAATATTTCATGAAATATTCAAGATGTTGCCTGCTGAGGCTTTCTCTAGAAATCTCTGTTTTATATTCTCCCTGGATGAAACCCATGAATTTTTTCTGGTCTCATTCATCTCAATGCTTTGATACTTCATTTTCCCTTGTGTGTTCTATGAAAGTCACCAGTCTCTACCTTTCTTTTTTTTGCAGCATAGCAAACAGTGTCATAAACTCAATTGTCTCACATCATCATTGGAATCATACAGACAGTGCTATGAACCCTGGAGGAAGTTTTTCTGTGTCCAAAGCTCATTTGTATCAATGTGAAAAGACTGCACTATTCCTTCATCCTCTTCTGCATTATTCCTCAATAAAATCTTTGTACATGACAGTAATGAATTGACTCACTTCTACACAGTCATCGGTATTCAAGGTTTTGTTAGGTTACCCATTTCAATGCAACACACTTAAAATGTTAAAGTATCAATGCAAAGTTCTATTGTTGAAAAAATTAGATCTGTTGCACAGATAGTGCACAGGAAAAAACAGTTAAGTGAGAAACTTCCATGTCCATATTAATTTTGCAAATCACAAAGAATTCCATAAATTGCCCATAAATTTTTTTCACACATGGGTCTATACATGGGGATGGTCCAGATCACATTTTTTAAAGAGCCAAATTTTAAATTTCACAAAATTAAATCAGCACCAACATTTTCTCACTACACCCTAAGGCTTCATCCACACCAGAAAGTTTTCTTACGGAGGCAATGAAGGAATGTAGCAAAATAATTTTTTTTTTTATCAAGAAAACTTTTGAAGATATCTCCTGGAGCATTGTAAATCTTGCATTTAAAACTTTCAAAGACATCCTCACCGGTAAAGTATTCTTTCCAAGTTGACTTAAAAATAAAAATTGCATATAAAACTTTCTGGTGTGGAAGAGGCCTTAGTCATGAAATGAAGTCTCTAATCTTCCTCAAACCATAAAAGTAGAAGCATTTCTAACCAACAAAAGCACATCCCCTGGGGCTACCTTCAGCAAATCAGCTGAAGATTGCCAAATGGCCAGATGATGCTTTTCACTTTTCACTTGATTCAACATGCATGTAGCTGGCTGAAATTCTCTTTAGCACCACCTTCCCACAATAATTTTGTGTTACCAATTAATTGCCAAATGGGTTTGGTAATTTATTAGGAAAATTTTAATTATTAAGTGCATGATATGTCATGCTGAAATTCAACAGTAGCCTCAGGCAAACAGAAAGCACTTCTGTGTATAGACGTGGCCCACATTGAGGTAATGCAGGTATCAGCCTATGGAATGGACCCTCTGTGACCTAAGCAGGGCATGTGGCTACCATCACACTTTCAGGCATAATTCAGCAACAGAACTGCAGACTGTAATTGCCTTCCACAGTGAGAGGTCTCTCACATTGCTTCTGGACAATAGAGAACTACCATTTTATATTATGTGAGTCATTATGGTATGTGACAGGCAATAAGATACTGCTAAAATTCTGTGATGGTATGACAGAAGGAGATAATTCCACTTTTGGCTAAATTGAGCTGACATCATCACCATGTAGAGTGTATCATGATCCATCTTTTTGTCAAACAGGATAAGTCCAACTCCTGTTCCTTCAGGAGAAAACTGTATTTGAAAAAGGGGATATGTAGCATGCGCTGTATGAATAAGAATTTAAAAATCTTCCTCCTGAGAAATTGCAAAAAATTGCCATATTGCCTTCTGTCATACAACCACAGAATTAATCTTAAATTTTCAATTATGTGACACTGTTCACCATATATGCCTAAATTAGTTCTTCAAGAAAGTAATTGAACTCCTCTGGTGTTGCCTTCAACTGAATCGTTTAAGATCCATGAATGGTGCGTAGTGTTGCTAGGCATGAACACGAGACTTATGTTTAGAAAGCAAAGCAAGTTGCTCTCAAGCAAGCAATGTTTTGCACAGTGTTGACCCAAGGCAAACTATTCCTTCCTTCACCCTTTGAGAATTATAATTCAATAGCATTAAATATGGGGGTACAAATCTCTAGATCACTGCTGTCCAGTTTCATTACCTTCTGCTTAAAAGCATCAAGTGCAGACTAACACAGTGCAGACACTCTTCTGCCCAGTCCTGTGACTATTCTCAATTGGAACAAATGCATCTAAGCCTTTCTCCAGCAATTGAAAAGTAACAGAGACAAGTGTAGTTAATGCAATCTTCATCTCTTGGTCCATTGAAGAAACAGAACACGAGGAAGAGTACCTCAATAGGACAAACAAATCATGCCTATTATACTTGCTTTTCAGCAATAACAGATGCCAACTTGTGAGTTCAACACTCATACATTCATTCACCTCTACTTCATGAAAGACACAAAATAACACAGTTGAGAAATAAATTAACCACTTCATCTCTCTCTTTAAAAGCAACTAACACTTCCAACAGTAAAGCATGACCACAGGCCAAAACTTCATCAGCAGGATGATAGATGTGATAAAGGAGATCAAGAGCCTGGATGCTTCACCTGACCTTGTCTGTCAAACCTCTCTGAAGAGTTGGAATCGTCAGTGTTGCCCTGGAAAAGGAATTCAATGAATCAAGAAAAATTATTATTCCTGCCAACATCAAGAGTAAAAACTTTTGTCATCACTTTGCAAATGACATCTAACACACAGAGGATGAGACAGACTAGGTAGCTATAATTCCAGTTGAATATTCATCCCAAAACACTGATAAGTACATGAAAACTAGTTTTGTCAACAGTGAATCAGAGACGTATCAATGGGATTCTAATTGATATCCAGTAGGTCCTAGCTGTTGCATCTCTCTAAAAAGGCATGCTTTTAATTTTTCCTCCACACCAACATCACAATATGGGATACATACATTCATCAACAACTTTTCTGTTAAATGAAGTCTAACTAAAATAAAAAATAGTCATAAGTGCATCATAACCTATAGGCATAATTGAGGAATCCCAAACAATTTCTGGGATAACTACTAAAATTATAACTTTAGATGTACAAAAAGAAGTTAAAAACCACAAGTAAATTTATGACTAAATTCAACAAAACAACACACATTCAAGACACCAGAGAAACTAGACACAAAGCATATCCTACTCTAAGCCCATTGTCCAATCCCCTGCAGCTAAAGCTCTAATTGCCTTGAGGGCAACTTAATTGACAATAATTCCAAAATTTAGATAGTCCACTTGGGCATAGCTCTCACCTACAGGATTCTTATGTTTCACATCTGGGAGTAACGCATGCCCCTAGATCCCCTATCCCAAACATGCTAGGTACATTCATCCAGAATAGGTTTCCATCCTATACATGGAAATATGCACCATTTTGTGTTGGTTTTTGAATTTGATTTTCTTGCCATAGGAGCTTAACAGGCTACCAACCAACCCATTCACCCACCACATATGTGGTTTAATATGAACCAAGTTTTTCATAATTCATTATATTCATGCATACCTCAATTGGGATGACATCACAGCGATGATCAATAATACCACCTTTCTTCTTTTGCGAATGAAACAAGGCAGAAAGTTCCTTCTGCCAATGACGTAACTGATGCGTTGGTTGAAAATCTGGAATCTGGGACAATCCTTTTGGAGGTCTTGCACTTAGTAATTTTTGGCTAGAGGAAGATGTACTGGTGTCCAAAGGCTTTCTGCAGACAGGACATGCCAACTGCCATAATAATCAAGAGGAAATAATAAAATCAATAAATAACCGTCTTAATCATATGACAGGAAATGTAAGGGGAGGAGTTCTGATTAGATCTATGAGACTTTCCCACCTGCCTCACAAATTTTTCTTGACTGTATGGATTCTCAAGGTGCCACTGCTTCTCCTCTTCTTTGAACCATGATACCATGGTTGACATATAACGACCAAAACAATGGCTATGGAAATGATGATAGCAGTCAGTCTTCATGAGGTCATCATCAGCTTCGAAATTCGTAAGGCAGATTGGACAGGGAGCACTGGGGATATTATTGAAGGTGAGTTGCTCTCGAACCATCTGCAACAGGATCATGACCTCTAACTGTACTAGTATAGCATTCATAAAAGAGACTCAGCCATAGGAACAGAATAGGAACTGGTCATATGAAATCCTGTCAATTGTAAGGCCTTTTTGACCAAATGACTGATAAAAAATTTACTCTGGAGTGGTTTCCTCTTCCACTGGTTTCTGATCCATTTGGATGTCAGGACGTATAACTTACTGGCATAATTCTCCTTTTAAAAATACTTTGGTAGGGTAACTTGGGGGAATATGGCCCTACAAAATGAAACCTGGTAATAACGGCCCGTCAAGGTCGAATTTGACTTTTGCAATGTTTCTACAATATTGATTCATATCTCCTTTACTAAATCCCAGCAAGGCACATGCAGACAACCGCATGGATATTGCACCTTTGGATCCTTTTCAAGTTGGTCTCAAGAGGCCATATTACCCATATAGTTGGGGGAATATGACCACTTCTGAAAAAGCAACTCCAGGTTTTCCAGGAACGTTTGAAATATGCTGGAACTTGCTAAGTACCTTGAAACATAATAATGGATGCTCAGGAGTTGAAAAAGAACCACTAACTGCATTGAGAAGTGGAAAGAAGTCAACATCATTACCTGACTCGAGGATCTGCTGTGAAAAGCAGGATTCCAATGTTTTAGGCTTTAAGTAACAATGCACGTGATTGGGAGACTGTATTTACGAACTGTGGGTATAAGAAGAGGGATCAAACATTGAACAGAGTGAACATGTGTTTAGAGTGTGAAATAAGAGGTCTTACATTGCAGGAAAAATGTTGCAAAGTTTTTGCATGCATGCATAAATAGTGGCTAAAAATTAGCAGAATACCCATTTAACTTATTGTACGAGGGGTATTTACTTGCATTCAAATTTTGTGCCACAAAAATGTCTGGTGTATGTCAAGCGGATGTCTAAGAGGCGGTGCATGTGCATATTCTCCTGCACCGCCTCCTCATGGACTGCATATTTCGTCCAGATGTCCAGCACGTCTATCCATATATCCAGAGGAAATGCATGGAATGATCTATTGCTGCCTGAGATCCCACGTGAAAGGAAACTGACACTACCAATAGGTCAGTGCGGTGCTACCATGGAATCCAGGATGTGTCCATATTACCCCAAATCGGGGTGGCCATATTACCCCATATTGGCTTGCATGACAAAATTGACAACACTGTATGTGTACCTCAAGTGAACGGGCTAGCCCTTTCCACAAGCATTCAGGAGGAACCATAGCATAACTTTGAACAAATGGTTTTTGTATCCATGCTGCTATTAGGAAATATATGCATAAGTGGCACAAGGCCCATATTAGTTTCAGGGCCATGAGTTGAAGAATCGCATGCATATGACTAAAAGAAATCGATGTATCCCGAATTCCAGTGAGAACTGGATCAACGAACAGGTCTAAACATTTTGACAATTGCATGCACTCTTCGATAGAATTATTTTCAAAATTCGCCCAAACTAATTATTCATTCTGTTAAGGAATTCATTGTGAGGGGCCATATTACCCCAATGGCCATATTCCCCCAAGTTACCCTATACATTTTACACATGCTGAAATATGAAAGCAATAGCTGAAATTGAAAAAGAGAGAACTACAATCAGACAGTTTCATAAGCAACACCACTGGTGAGGGATTTAAAACATGGATTTGGAAGCTGGAGCTTTTCAATATCAGGTGAAGGCATTTATCAGTTGAGGCCATGACATCCAGAATTCATAGCTTAGATCCTCAACATGATTCAGTCCTCTAAGGCCTTATGTTAGGCCAAAGGTTCTAAGATTTTAACTTGGATGGTGAACCTAGGCCTTCTAAGTCAGTAATATTGCGAGATCTTGAACAGCAGGTTGTAGGTGTACACACACCCAAAATCACCCAGATTGCAATGAAAGTAGGATAATCATCTGACATAGTGTTGCCATACCAAGCAGGTGACAGCCAAGATGCTGGGTGAGATGCAAGAGTATAACTTGAGAATGAAACAAGCATGATGGTTTTGGTGTTGAAGAATCAATGACAGCAGTTCTCAGAACTATGAAATGCTCTAACTTGAATGAATCAGTTGTAAATAAAGGTCAATTGACCGGGTCAGGTAACAATTATATCCTTAGTTGTGTCATCCAGATGGTATTGAATTGCACTCACTTCAATCAACTCATACAAGATGGGGTCCCCAATGTTCCTTCCATCCAATCTCTTTCTACAATCAGCAACAAGCTGAGTTTCCATGACCTGACTAATACCCCGAGGATTCAAAAAGGAGATTCTTGGTGCTACAGCTGGATACCCATGGTCCAGATGGAACTTCATTGTGATGGAGACAAATTGCTGGTCAGCTATCTGGCCAGTGGCTGGAACAATCTTCATCTGAATATCAGATACTTTTCCTGATCTGGAAAGAGGGATCATAGAATGAAGTTATCATATTTTTCAGAGTTTCCTATGGTAGGTTCTAAAAAAAAACTCACTCATCACATTGAATCTCCAGCTCATCCAAGAAAATTGCTTGGAGGGCTTCAACTTCTTCTTCCAGGGCATCTGATGCATCATTTGACATTCTAGCTCTGCTTAGACCGGCTGACATCAGCCGGTCTAAGTCTAATCAAAGATTACTCAAAGTATTGCAATGATTTTTATTAAAGCCTCTGACTGACAAGCAAGTGCAGCTTCTATTTCTTTCAGTTAAGCTTCACACCTTTCCAAAGACTCCACCACTCATTCATAGGAGTAGTCACATGTAGATGTTGAAGTAATTTGAAGGGAATCAAACTCAAATGCAGAAAAAAATGTTTGAATTAGGTCTATTCCTCACCAAAACTCAGCTGAGTTTCTGATCAACAAAAGGTCCTTGTGAAGATTGAAGGCCTAATGATGCATCCATGACAGGCTACTCGTGGCTTGAGCCCAGGAACCAGCCCTACCCAGACAAAAATGGATGTGTCACTCAGTTGTGAAAGGAGAAACAGGCACACACTAAGTGAGCTCTCACACTATATAAATTAGACAGCCAAATCTGCAACAAGACAACAGAGTATGCCTAACAAATTAAATAAACCCTACCAGATGCTGACCAATCAATGAAATTATGCTTGGATCCTGCAGGTTTTTCAGCTGAGTTCGACTCCTTTTCAATTAACTCCGACACCCATGCATGAGAAGAGCCTAAGGACTACACGGGAATCGGAGTCATCTGAAACCGCATCGAACTCAATAAAAAATTATGGACCTCTCACAGACCTAAGTCTAGGGCTAACGATAGACCTGTAGTAAGGTGCTAGGTCTAGGCCTAAGCCGAGCGTGAGCACTTATCATACGCCAGCCTAACGATAATTATTAACAGGCTTTGCGAAGGCCTGTAAATAGCCTAACATGAAAATAACTTTGATCACGTAATGCGCGACTCATCTGGGCCTCACTATTGTCTCTTAGAATCCTTTGATGAACGCGGGACGGATATGGCACCTTCAGGCAATAACCAAGCCTAGACAATAAAATGAAAGTAGCCCTAGCTAGGACCTCTATTCTTCAATCGACCTCTAGAATGCTGAGCTAAACCCCGGCCCAGGATGTGCACGTGCAGAAGGGAGACACAAGGGTTCCGCCTCCTTTTCCACAGATGGCGTTTGCACACAGCTACTCTCAAAATCCTCTATTTCGCTCACAGCTAGATCTCAGTGGCCGGATCAGGGCAACCGTAACCGGCAAGTTTCCGGATGGCTTGACTGGTGGAAGTCGATCATGAACAAAGTCAGCATTGAACCTTGAAAGGTGAACCTACAAATACTGGGTGAACTGCATAAAAATGACTTTAGCGTAATGGAGCTTTAAACCTCCTTTAGCGGCGCCAAAGCTCCATTACGCTAAAGTCAGTTTTATGCAATCCATCCACTATCTCCAGGGAGGGGGGCACCTGCCCGGGGGCGCCACCTAAGTAAGGGGACGGCGAGAAAGGAGGGAGGGCGAAGTAAACGACAAGTGAATGAGGCAGAGAAAAATGAAAAGAAATATATTTTGAACAGCGAAAAGATAGTCGTAAAAAATTTTAAATGAAGAAGTTTCGACTTTCGATACACATCGACAAGTCCTCGATGCGTATCCTGAACTTGGAGATACCTCTCCGGATTTTTCTTACTCTTTCCTCATCAATTGCTTCATGTGAGAGAAGCTTCAGCAAACTTAAGCATATCAAGACAAACATCTGATCCACAATGGGGTAAGAAGGGCTCTCTAGCTTTACAATTACTACAAAATCAGAAATCAAGTGAAATCAAGTAGGAAATCAAGTTACAAAAGAAGTGGATTTTGATTGTATCGTGGACAACTTTGCATCTCGTAAAAGATAGGAAAACAGTGCTATAGTTTCTGAGAGACCTATGGGCGTGCCAATGAATACTTATGAGGATACTCAACAGCTCATGACTACTGTATATGACTATTCTGTATACTTGAATGAAAAGATGCCAATTGGACTTACTATTCAGATTCAGTTCAACTGAGGGGGTCCAAAGTTAGACGTGTATACGCAGATACTAATTCAAGGGACAGGAGAACTGACAAACACATTGAGGGGAAGAGCCGGGGGGGGGGGGAGGAAGGAAGCGTTCATGACACCCTGCCCAGAGGCGCCACATGGGGTAATTACGGCCCTGTCTTCAGGCAGAGGGGTATCCCGGTTCTTAATATTGGGAGGTGGAAATATTACAGATAGACCAGAGTTACAGGGAGAGAGATACGCAATTTCATTAACAAGTGCGACTTCAAGATATCGATACAGGCTTCATGAAATGGGGCATGCTCTGCTGAATTATTTGAACTGGGACTCAAAGCCAACTCGAAGAAAGGAGAATTCCGCGGCAACAGAAAAAAAAGCGAAGGCCAACGTCCCACTACGAGGGTATCAAACACTCGCATTCGTTGGACAGACAGAGCACAACCGAAACGCAAGTTACAACCAGGGAAACTGACGGAAAATCCAATCGAGACCTAGAGTAAAGAAGTAAAACATAGATTTTCAGAATCCAGGATGCCCACGATCCATATCGCACTTCATATATGAATGAAATCCTTTATTAGCTTGCAATTAAAAAAATGATAATGATAATATGAATCATATTTAAACCATTCCCCTCATCGGTGGCGTAAGCAGGAAATTGGCGAGGGAGGCGGGGGCCAGGTAGGTAGGTATTGAGGCCAGGTAGACACCCAACCTACGCCTAGCTCCACTACCCGGAATGTACCTTTTAGAAGAAGTGGTCTGGCATCGGACTTTCTTCGAAGGGCGATAGCTAAAATTGGAATTCCTAAGAATGGTTGAAATATGCCTGTCAGTGTCACTGACCCGGAAGCCCAAGGGAAGGGTTCTATCACCTAACCCTTCCCTTCCCACCGCAACTGCCATTCATTCATTCCATTGAATTTTGAGAAAGCCCGAATAAGAGGCGAAGAAGAGAAGAAAGACAGAGATGGGTCTTTCAGTCTGTCTTTCAACATGTAACTCACACACGCTATCGATGTTTCACTAGCATCGAGCTACTCGCTCGCGAAGAACAATTAAAATATTCTGAATTTAATATTTTTTGCTTGAAAAGTGGATTAAAAATGTCGAAAATGGGAGTTTGCAGACATGCATGTCTGCAACCGACTTAAGACCCATTCTTGAATGCACGTCAGCCGTGTTTTTCTTTTAAGTAGGCCCAAGAGCAGTTTCAGTTTCCACCAAGTCAACCTACCTACAGGCAACCTATTACATTCTCTGTATGGATCGTTGTCGATCTTTCCAAGATCCATAACGTCGTATGGACGTTATGGATCTTGGAAAGAAAGATAAACGTCTCCAGTCCATTCTACCAAATCGTGAGCTTATTCTTTCTGCTTAAAGGCTCTCCATTGAATTGATGACAAAATAATGATATATAGTCATCTTAACTTATAAAAATATCATTATTTCATTGTAATCATTCAAGCATGTGATCGAAGGCTTTGGCTTTCTTAATCACTAGTTGAACCCCGCCAATTATATTCATATACATTCATGTGAACGGCTGTCATATGGAAAGCAGTATTCTATCTTAATAATGCTCTGAAGAAAATACTTTACATAAGAGTAAAGTTACCGCTTCATCTAGGACAATTTAGCTGCACCTAAACAACCCCAGATATCTATTACATTCAGTCCTGTAGCTAGCTCGGGGGGAGGGGGGCAGTTGACCCTCAGAATTATATGCTGCTCCTCCAAACATACAGGGTGTCCTAAAAGTCGCTTTACCGAGACGTTGAAGTGTTTAACTGATTATTTTCATTTGCGTTCAGGTTTTTATTTACAGGAGGTGTGAAATGTGCATTGAACATGTGAACATGGACAACAATTTGAACAATTTCTGTAGCTTCTCATTGTCACTTTCTGCTGGTGGTTGGTTGTAAATAAAGTAGTTTTTCCCTGGAACGTGAGCATAATCTCGGTAAAGCGACTTTTAGGACACCCTGTATTCCTCCCCCCCCCCCATGTGACGGGGATAGCAATACATTCTGTCATGAGATTTCCTAAATCCAAAACAATGATGTCGAGAAATATGATTGATCTCATCTCTGCAGTGGAATGGTATTGAAATTTCACAACTGTCCCCCTTCCAAGGAGGGGGGGGGATGTCATGGATGTCTGGACACTCAACGAAATCAAGCAAGATATCTTGAAACAAGGAGTACGGAGGGGGGGGGGAGTTGAAAAGTTCCCGCACTTTATAGTTCAATTGTACATGCGAAAGTGCGGGAACTTTTCAACTTATACTCCTATTCCACCTTTTGAATATAATCACTCTTAACCAATACATCATCTCACCAGTTTTCTTTCATAGCTCCACCGGTTTTTTAAATTTAAATTCCAGTGGTAAATCATTCTTCAGGAGTAGCTTTCACTCTCTCTAATTTCTGACGGATTCAAGGTCAGTCCTTGACCCATATAACTTTCCATGCAATAAAATTTTAAATTTTGCGAAGAGAAGGGGTGATTCTGAACTACGAGGTGGGTATGGTTGAAGTCCCAGTCAAGGCCATGGATTGCTCAGATGGTGACATGGGCAATATGGGGGTGGAACTACCCTGCTGCACCACCAAGCCCTCGGATGAGGTTAACCCTTCTTCAATTTGGCTTGAGCTTGTTCTTCAACAGTTGCAACTATTGCAATGCATTGTCGAAGATATAGGTACTTATTTCTTGCTGTGGGCCAAGGATTGTCCTTGCCAGTGGGTGAAAGTTGAAAATATCCGGAAACCTTTCAGCCTCCCCTCGTCAAAAGAGTATTCACCGCGCTTAGCCTTCGCAGAGGGAGGAGGGGACTGACCCCTCAAGTCGGTAGTCCGACTACGTGCTCGCAGCCTCGTGCTTTAGAGCGGTACTCAGAGTAAATTACCAGCTTGTAAGGATAAGAATGACAAGGCGTAGGATGACGCTCGCATGGGAGGATACCAGTCCAGCCACTTGTGCCCCTACAACCTTCTCTGCACGTGAAGGCTTTCATGCGCTCTTTGACATTTATTGTGCTTTTACGATTGAAGAAATATCTCTTTAAACGGAACGTATCTTTTTCCTATATTTGGTTTGATATATATCTACACCAGACTTGTAAAATGTCCACTCGTCCGGGCAAGTACGCTTGGCGGATTGGCGAGAGAAAAGAAAACAACCTGACCTGGTGAAAATCAGGTCTGGCGAATGTAAAAGAAGCAAATAACCGTCAACAACCCACTTCGTGTGAGTCTCCGTATGCTATTCCCCGCGTGCGAGTCCCTGTCGCCCATCGTCATACACTAGATACATTGGCATTTATATTTCTGTGTGGGAACTGTGTTTTTGGCCGTCGGGAGGGTGGGACGAGGAAAAATGTTGCCTGGCTGGTAAAAGGTCGAGAACATTTTTCAGAGCTGGTCTAAGCCACCTTTCTTCAAGCAGCCTTTATTAGTCAATACTTGTCAAGCAATACTTGTTTATGCCTGGTCTCGATACCACATCTACCAAACCTGAAACTCATAGCTGAACTCCTGGTTTCGAGAAACTTTAAATTCATCTATTGGATTATTTCATCCACAAATCCATCCGAAGGGTGATACCAATCCTTCCACACGTCCAAAAACGGTGCGAGAAGATAGTGATAAAGTAATACTATAGAAATAGAGTCCTCCCAGAATGCAAGAGAAAGGGCTTTGGAAGTTTTCCTTTTTCCCCCCAACCACTCACACTCCTCGCCCACTTCGTCATATCGTGAGCCTGAAAGAGCCGCACGAGACACCTCCCCGAAAATAATTCCTGGCTATGTCCCCGCCCCCTCCCCTCCCCCTCCGACTGAGAATTGCTGGCTACTGGGCAGATTACATTTGAAGTTATAATAGTTGATCCCGTCAATCCCAGACGCAAATTTTCGTGACGTCTCCAGTAGTTTTCAGCGTATTCCTGAGGCGCCTGGTCGCAGTCTTCCAATGCCTCACGGATTTTACAGGGATGCAAGGAGCTCGATGGTATTCTGGGACAGGGAGAAAGGGGGGGGCGGGGGGGGGGGGGGGGGGGGGGGGGGTACAGAATTTTTCGTTGGGGATTCCCCCTTGCTGGAATTAATCCGTCATGGAATTGTCCTTCAGGGAGAAATGTCTTCCAAGGAAAGGACTTACTTGGAAAAATCCTCTCGGGGAATGAACAACTCTGGGGATTTCCTTTCAGGGAAGTGTTCGTAAATATCGTAAGCCATTTCGTCGCGTGCTTTTGTTCTACCAGCGCTCATGCAGGGTTGGGAAGTAACCAGTCACCGTAACACGTTACAAATGTTAGAAGCGGGTAATAAGTAATCGTTCCATCTCGCGAAACGGGAACGATTCGTGGCATTTCGTTCCTTTTTTTGGTAAAATTTTTGTCATTTTCAGCGAAAAAGGACAATAATCTCTCCATTCTTGTCTGTTTCACTCATTTATTTATTTATTTTTTCAGTTTGGATTAGCCTATTGTGGTGATAGTGAATATGTCGTAGCGACAAAAAGGGACTATAACTGTTACGAGTTACTTTGGAAAAAAAAAGGAACTAGTACCGGTAAGTAGTTCCTTTCCTACCAAAGTAACAATAATTGTAAATTATGAATATCAAGTCGATGGCTTAATACACTAACATTCCTTGGCTTGCTTGGAAGTACTCTAGTTAGTACCTTTCCTTCATTGACTCCATGTGGGCCTTCAACCTCCTTTCCCTGATAGGAACTCTCGGTGATTCCTTCAATCAATTTCTTCTATTTCTTCTATTCCTGTATAATATTTCTTTCCCCCACTGGAATTACAGGTCCGTTAGGGTCTCTTTGGTGGTCTCTGTTATCATTCCAGGATATATCTACTCTATCAGAGAAAATGTCAGGCAGCCTCACTGCCAGATTTAACTTTCCCCCCGCCCAGGGAGGTCCTAGTTTTAATTTACCCATAGCCATTGAAATGAGGTCTCCGTTTGAACTTTCCTTGTTCCATCTTCTGGGCCAGAATTGCCTGGAGTCTCCGAAGGCTGGATAACCATCTCTTCGGACGAATGTCCCAAAAATGTTGGAACAATTTTTCATTATGTAGCCACTCGTATTTCGTTCGGTCTATCGTTGTGAGACTTTGAGGGCTGACTAATGTATCAAATGAGCTCATATGCATACATAAATGAATACATGCAAATGTATGCAATATCTATTCACTGCGTTAAGAAATACAGGAGGTAATTCAGAGAGTGACAGCAGTAAGGGAGAGTGGCCAGAGCTGTACGGGCGTCTGTGTAAAAAGTCAGTGTTGTGGCTCATGCACGATGTTTGACATGATGCGTTTGACCAAGAAGTAAAATGCATTATTCTAACCTATTTCACACTCGGAAGAGGTCACACTGGCACGTGAAATAGTTGAAACTAAGAAACTGCACGGTTGAGGATCTCCATTGATAGTCGAGCGGAAGCAATGAAAACGTCGAAAACGAAACGAGGATCGTGGAAGCGATCCTCTTTGCTTCCGTGCCTCTCGGATGTTTGGTTTAAGATGCTTGAGATCCTAGTTCTGCCATGTAGTCCACTGAACCGACAAATTCCAGTCGACTACAAGAGATCGGGAATCATGCTGTAGAAAGCCTGCACACAACCGATCCGGTAAATTACAGTAAATGACGAGTAATTGACTCATCATTCTTTTTTTTCTTCTAAGATACATCAACTTCGACCCTGTCGGACTGTATCATGCCGAAATCCATCACCTGAATGCCATAATCCATGAATTTTAAATAGGGTCGACACCTTGCAGGAAGAAGAGAAAGCCTCGCTGTTGCTGAATATTCACGAGTCAAGAGTCCTTGCACCATTTGTACTACTGCTTCGGCACTCAGCTCACATGGGCAATCCCAATATCTTATCACATTTATTATTACACCATTCCAGTCATATTACTAGAGGAGAGGAGCATTCATAAATTTGATCTAGTTTCAACATAAAAGTGACATTCACAGAACAAAATTATATTTGAGACTCGCTTTCTCTTGTCGCACTGTTCGTATTCTAGCCGGGGGGGAATTTCTAAAAGTTCCACCCATGCAACTGTCTAATGCGCTGGAATGGCTTGCGATCTTTTATTGAGCTCTCTTAACTTTTTTCCACTCTATTTTACAATGATTCATCGCGGCCAATCTCCGTCCACAAAGTTTGACAGTAAAATGTCAAGTAATAGGAAAGTTACACTGTGGGAGGGGGCTCTTGAAACCTCTCCCTGCCACAATTACACACGAAAAGCCCAGCAGGCATTGGGTTAAGGCAATAGAAGAATATGCAATGCCACGATGGAGCAAAACCTGGTTTTATAGAGATGCCGCAGTTTCGTTGTGCAATCCTAATGCATAGAATCTTATTAATCTCATAAAAATAGAAGCAGATTTCTGGTTCGAGGAAGGAGCAAGAAGAATCCAGTCCTTCAGCATCGTCGTAAGACCAAGCATATTCCCTTTCGCGAAAGTGACGGATATAATTGTTCAGAAAGGCACTTCCGACACGAATGGCACTTTCATACATGTGAAAGTAACCATTAACATTCTAACTCTTGGAAAATTTATTTGCAAAAAAAAGGAATGCGACGAAAAACTTGCGTATAACTTCTATTCGAACGAATCACGTTCGGGATTCTTGTCGCTTCGATCAAGTTGCATTAAACAATATTCATGATACGAAATAGCTTGCCGATATAAAAATTCTAGCAAAAAACAACGCAGCCGTTAGCTCCCTTAGCATTCGGGAAGAGCCGAATAAAGCAGCAAGACACCTCGGGATGTCATTGTCTCCACGTTTCATCCAATGTGCGATGAATTGCTTTCTTTCTCATAAATTCTACAAACTCTCTTGCTGAACCTTGTTCCCAGGTAACAATGTGTCCACAGGTAGTATACTAGGCTGAGGAAATTCCTGTCACGAAAATGAAGGCGAACCGCCAGATGACTGACGAGTTCGGAGAACGGGAGCAGGTTATACATCGGACAGAATCGGAATTGGACCGGATGACGGTGGAGAACACTCAGCAGAACCAAACGGTGACCTTCGAGGAGGAAGGGGAGCCGTCTGCCCACCCGGCCCCAGCAACGGAACCACCGACATCCGACGGCAATCCTCGGGATGGCCCCAACCTTGGGACCCCCAAGAGAGTGAGCTTCGATCAGGAAGTGGAAGTGATCTCGTACGAAGAGGAGCAAGAGGTAGATCGAGCTCGAATCAAGCGGTCCATTCTCCGCGATGACTCAGAAGAGCCACCACCTTTGGCTTCGGTGCTGGAACCGAATTTGAGCCCGGACGATCGTCCTCGGTCCCGAGATTACCCCAAGGAAAAGTGGCCCGGGAAACGCAAAGACCATGTCGTGTAGATCCAGAACGACCCCGTCACTCTCACCCCACCATTCGCCAAACAAAGTTCCGAGGTTTTTCACGATTTGCCTCTCAAACTTCTTTCCCTTCCAGGCCCCTTGGCCATGGGAAACACGGTTCACAACCGATGCCATGGTTGGAAAAAGAAAGGGCAGATACGGAAGTTTTTCTTTCGATGAAGTCGGGTTCACATCCACTTGTATTATATGCGAGGAATGACTGCCCAATATGGTGTAACGAAGTCTTTATTGAACTCATGAACGATGGATCGGTCACTGAGTACACGATTCCAACAAGTTATTTGCTTCTTTTTCGACAGAGATCAGTGTTACTATAATCCCAGTCGGCACGACAGACAGACATAGGCCCAAACCACTGTATCCAGGCTCTCAGGTATAGGTACTGTGGTAGATAAGAAAATTAGGTGTACTTTCCCCTTTCGGGAACATTGGACGGTACTCATGATCATGATCTTTGAGTAATGGACAGTTGCGGGAGCGGAATGGAGAAAGAGATGGTCCACACATACATATTGGGAAAAAATTCAAATTCTTCAATGGAATGAGTCACTCAAAGATTTCTCACATACCCATAAGCTCGCCAAATCAGACACAGTCTTGGAACAAGAAAAGAAAAAGTATTTTGTTGTAAGACTGGAAAACTAGACATCCAAAAACAACTCTGAACAAAAAAAAACTCCTGGTACATGAAATAAATTACACAATAAACTGCAACTGTTCTCTACAGGAAACTCTCTCGATTTTAGCACCAGATTATAGAAAGGCATTTGTTTCTGCTGCAAAAAGCAGATGACTTCTACACAACATTGCACATATCATTTCCCGCGTGCCACCTCTGAGATTCACATTGCAGCTTGAACTTCACAGAGTATCAATTTCCAAATGCTACTGAGATACTTGGCTATTCCACTCATCTATAGAAAGTGACAATGTATAGAAGTTTCAAAATCACTCAGCATGCTCATATCATCACAGTCATCAGCAGTGATAGCATTTTGGCACTACTTTTGACATCCGTTCTGGAATTTGTCTGGCTCAGACCTCTGGACAGAGGACTTATCACATTCCTCAATCAGGTAATCTGCGTATACAAAGTTAGTTCAGCTGATGGCACTTTATAGTCACACCGTATTGCATGAAAATCAGAGATAGAGAGGACAAAAAAATTTTTTGACTGGTACCCTGCTATGATTGCAAAATATACAAACACCCTAGATAAATAAAATATACTAAAATCTCAAGTCCCTGCATGGCACAAGAAACGATTCAAGCATCAAGGAAGTGTTTAGTGCTATCACCTAAAAACAGGAAGTTTGAATAATATTCCTGACCAAAAAAAAGTGAGACAGCTGATATATACACCGATAAGCGTGCACTCTATAGACGAGACGTGGAGCCACCACAAACAGGGGGAAGGAGGAAATAAAAAGCGTAGTAAATGCAAAAAAAAAAGAAAAATGGGGATCTTCTCAACAATAAGAGATCATTTTGAGCACTTGGATTTTGGTTCCTCTTCTTCAAACTTCTTTCTCGCAATCTGAGTGAAAACTTCGCGAGAGCAACCGAAAAAAAAGTTCCACAAGGTCTGAAGCAGTCTCTGGCGGAAGAAAAGATGAAAGGGGGAAGCCCGACTGAGAATATTTCTTCCAGAGCCCGCCATCACAGCATATCTTTATCAGACTGGATCCCTTGCACCATGAGAAACACGAAGGGTCAGTTCGAAAGGCCGAAGGTTGAGAAGGACCAACTTGCCAAATTTCCCTGCTATGCATGGAGGACAGCCTGGTAACTGCGAGGGAAAGGCACGAGGCAGGTTCGCGTTGGTTATGTAGCTCCCATGTCCTCCCGGAGTGTTATCTCGTACGTATCCTCGCTCTCCGCTTTCTCGATGAAAATCGTAAACACGTCCTCGTTGCAGTAATGTTTCAGCATTTCGTCATCCACCTTGGCCAAGATTCTGAGGGGAAATCCAAATCCATCAGAAAATGAGACTTCAAAAGTGAAATTCGACCACTTTAATTTCGCCAGTATATATATTACCCTCCAAAAATTTATTTACCAGCAGTAATCTTTGCGAGATAATACATCTGACAATGTAAGTTAATGAAATAATGGTGTCAAACGATGTCATTATGTGCTTCTTCCACACTTATTATTTCTGTCGAAATGCTGAATGAATTGCGCAAATAAATTGAGTTATCAATTTTTTTTAAACTAGCCTATCCTTTCACTATCCATTTGCCCTGGAAGTATGTTCGTATGAAGGAGATAGACAATACCAAACGTGTCATCACGCAAAGGCTTGCGGTAAATGCTATCCATAAACTTCTACAGCATTAGAAAGCAAGGAGACATTGACCGTCTATCAGGGTCAGGACATCAAAGGGTCGCTGATGATCGAGCAGTATGTATCTTTTCTGAATCGCAAAGCGATCGTTCCTCGGCACGACTTGGCAATAGCAGGCGTTAAAGCGTCTAAAAGAGCCGTGCGGAGGACGGCAGGGTTGGGAGTCGACTGATGTACGTCCCGCTTATGACCGGTCAACACCCCTGAGACGGCCTTGCCTTCGCAAAATTCCATCAGGCTTCGTGCTGGGTTGGAGTTCCATCCTCTTTTCCTCCCATGGGAGAACAACAGTAGGTGCCAGGCTCGAAGGCGGTCAAATGAGACTCATCTGCCGGTATGCTTGGAGCCAACTGTCGAATTTGACGGAGTGAGAGTGGTGATTTGAGGGTCCATGACAATGCGGAGAATTAGGCGAGAAAAGTGACTTTAAAAAAAAGTACGATAGCTGGCAAAGAGTATATCCACATTCTGGAGGTCTTCATGGTTTCATCCGCCCTTCTCCTTGGATAGGGGAGTGACTTCTTTCTGCAGGACGTCAGCTGTCAGAGGGCAGCAATAGCAAAGGAAAAAAAAATGCAAATAATGAACGCATGCTCCCTTGGCCTGCGCTAAGTCCATATGTGAATCCCATCTCTCATCCCTGGGATGACCGTCGACCATCTACGTAAGGACCACCCAGTTTCTAAGGAGGCGAAACTGGTAACCCTTCTATAGCGTCTATCAGGTGAATCACCTGCAGAGACTTGCCAGAAGCCGGTGCGGGGCATGCCAAGTCCGACATAGACAGTTTTAAGGCGAAATGTGGAAATACGTCTTATTGAAGGAAGATTCAGTTCGGTTCCAATAATTTGCCCAGTTGTTACGCTCTGATGGTGCGCATTATTTGCACAACTCATTTGAAATTGCGACAGAGTCGCCAGGAAATGTCAAGGCACCATGTATAGAAATAGTTTGAAACCATTATTTCGTTAAATTACACTGTCAGAAGCATTTCCCCGAGTAAATTACATTGCTGATCCTATTATTTTGGAGGCTAGTGTATGAACAAGCATCTTGATCGTCTTCCTATTTTTGGATCGAGGGGAAAGATAACATAAAAAAAAGGTGGGATGTGCTCCTTTCACTCCCTCACTCACCCTTTCCTGTTCTTCCTAAAGATATGCTTCACAGTCGACACGGCCACCTTGTACTTGTCTTGGATCTGCAATTAGAGACAGGTGTATCTCCTTCATTTCCATGAGCTCTGAAATTTCCCTGCAGAATAAAATATAGACAGACGTACGGCATTGAGAAGTCCGACCAGAGAGGGTGGCGTCAAATGTAGAGGGGTATACACCCGTTCGCCGTCTTGACGGACATACAACATGAGCCTTTCTGTTACTGGGGGGATCATCTTGAGCCTTTTCATCGGGATTGCACATGTACCAACGGGCGGGGGCAAATGCTCCGCCATTACGGGGGTCGCCTCTGGCCCCGCCCCTCCCAATCCATCCGTCAATATCACCTTCTTGTCGCTGCGAGAATACAGATCATTTTGTCTTTTTCTCCATTCAGTCTCAAAAAAATATCGAGCATTTCTCGGCCAAGAGTGAAGGATGTATGAGGGAGATGCATTTAATGGGCGGAGATCCACCAAAGTCCATTCCCATGCATCGCAAGCCAGTAGGCATGCATAGCTCTGCGAACGCAGAAGAACTTAGTCGAGCGTGGACGGAAAGGAAATGGTGGTCGGGGTTGAAATACTCTCATACCTTACCTGGAATGCGAAGAGTCGTCCGAGGCAGCTTGGGAGTAGAAGCTCTGCAGTTCCATCGAGGCCAGCTAAGGATCAAGAGACAGAGACTGGAATTACAGTCATCCCGCATCTCCCCTCCCCCCCTGCTCCTGCCCCCAGATGCCGAACATATGAATCATGAAATCTCTCAGGCTCAGGGTCATGCGACATCCATTGGCCTATGCATTTTTGATTCACCTCCATCCCATGTTTCATGCACGACGAGGCGGAATAAAAATGGGGGAGGGGAAGTCAAAGGATCGCATGTCTTCGATATCAAGGAAGGAGTTGTCCATCAAAAAATTCAAAATGGGCGAAGTCGGGCTCCGCGACTCTGACGCTAGGCCATTAGTCATGTAGGACTGAAGGACCGAAGACTGACCTTATCCACGTCGTCGGCAGGAGTAAAGAGAGACGGTGGTTTCGTGAGATCACTCATGGAATAGAACTCCGATCTTTCGCACGGAGGATGATAAAGTTCGTCCAACTTCTTCCTTCCCGTTGCCGTCAATTTCCTCTTCGCCGCCCGACGCTCCTCGTCTCTCGTTTTCCTCTCCGCACCCTAACCAGCAATTCATCCACTTAATCTAATCATCATTCTCTATATGGGAACCGAAGAGAGGGTTGGACATTGATGTCCTCCCGACGAGAAATACTATATCTCATGTGTGGGGGAGGATTGCAGCATGCCTTACGATCCCATTCCCATGCCATTGTTTTGCTTCTCCAATTTATTATCATCGTCCTACGGATCTCTTCTCTTCTAGGATCGGGGATCGGGCTAGAGAAAGTCAGGCTTGGAGATGATTCTGACCACGCAGTATGACGAGATGGAGAGAGCGACAGAGACAGAGAGAGGGCTGGGCTCATTAATTTCAGATAGGTATCGAGACATTTATGAGAAGGTGACGGAGATAAGAAGACAGATAGCCATGTCCTGGTACGGCGAGAAAGAGAGAACTCTTGTTTTCTCCCATTTCCCCCCCATCCACTGATCCCCTCATTTGATCTGATTTCGATCCCGATCCTTTTAACGAAGAGACTGAGAGAGAGAGAGAGAGAGAGAGAGAGAGAGAGGAAAAAAAAAACGCGAGAGGGAAAGGGAATACGGGTAACAGGGTAACAGGCTGGAAGTCGTCTGTCAAGTTCTACAAGGACCCTTCTTTCGCGTTTCACATTTAACCTGCTCCCCATCTGTCATTCTTTTCAATGTGTGTGTTCGTGTGTGCAGCAAGTAGTGGAAGTAACAGTAGTAGCAGCAGTATGTTGTATGAGCTGAATAGCAGCCGATACGAGCGTGGCAGTCTTCTTTATTTATTTATTTCTTTTTACTCCCCCACCCACCCAGGTACTCACCTTATCACAGAAGACTTTGATCTGGCAGTAGCCTCGATGACACACGGGACCGGATTTCGAAGGTTCGTCATAGGTGTCGATTTGGAGATGAAGAGGGAGACCCTATAAAAAAAAAAAGAGAGAAAGATGGAGTATGACTGAGAGAAAGTCCATTTCCCCCCTTTAAGTTTCGAATCTCGTATGAACAGGAAGAATGAAATCCAGGTAAGTCGGACAAAATCCACCTGATCGAGTAGGAGGAGACTGAAAAGGGAGAAGGGGAATCTATCAGTCGTTTATCATCCCGCTGACAATGACAACTTTTAATGAGGCACAGATTTTAATTAGGGGAGGGGACAGAGAGAAAGAGAGAGAGAGAGAGGTGTATAAGGGAAAGAAAGACAGAAAAGCCGATGGAAAGGCGGAGAACGTGAGTTCCATAATTAATGAATCCATGAAAAAAATGTTCCCCTCTCAAATCATACCTTGACTCCTTTCTGACTGCTGAAGTCCGTACTCAGGCACTGGACAGCGATGTTGATCTGGAAAGAGACAGGACGTGTATCGTTCAAGGACGTGTCGTGAACCGAGCCCAGGAAACAGGGAAATGCTTTCCATAGAGATCATACTCGATTCCATCCCCCCCCCCCCCTTCATCCCACAATCCCTCTCTCGAATCTGAGGTGATGTGCCTTTGGTTTTCCCCGAAAGGGACCCAACAAACAAAGGGAGGAGGAGGACAGAAATAAAGGGCACCTAAGCATGGTAATATCACAGATCATCATTACCATCCCATTCCCGGGATATGGTTTGTAACTTTAGTGGGACAGAGGTCTGGGAACGACAACAAGGACATTCCCAATGGAGGACCTCGGTCTCGGTGCTATATCACTCGCTACATGAAAGGCATGAGGGACCTTCTATGACAACCTTGAAAACAACAAAAAAAAAAAAACACTCCTGACAACGGAATTCGGACACTGTCAAGTATCTGTCTCTCGTGCTCGGTCTGCGTCTCTTGTCTTTTCCCGGCGGAGAAGGCCCAGGTATTTCTTTGGTCGATGGCCGATGTAATCGTCTATAGTCGAATCCAGACATCTTCGATGACTGATGAGTCCATCTCAAACTATCGTAAATACCCCGTGCTGTGATTCTACTACAAAGATATCCTCCAAAACCGAAGTACGCCGATTTCATCATCATCAAGACTTCTCCCTCATTGACTGAGATATATGTCGTCAATGTCGGAATGTATGAGAAAAGCCTTCACGAGTTGTTCTTATGACGTCGGAGGCCATTCCCATGTATTTCGAACTGAATACCGGGGATCGGAAAGTCCCTCAAAATTGATTTTCCAGAATATATTTTAGTATTTCTAGATTCTGCTGGAAGTGTACCGGAGGATGAGAATCACAGTGAGCTTCGAATAGGAATTACCTTGGCAGGACTCTCCAAAGGGTTCCAATAGACAGCGATGGCATTATGAGCCACTTCCTCGATGCAACCCACAAGACCCAGACTGTTTTTGGTATCTGTAACGACAGGGTGAATCTCATCTGGTAATCATTCAAGCAAATGGAAATCGCGGGGGAAAATAAGAGATGTGGTGCTACATACCGATATCCAGGATCCGTTGCTTGATGCTGTGCTGTCTCCCGTGCCAAAATTGCCACGCTTTGATTTCATCTTCCGCTGACTTTTCCTCCCTGAACACCAACACGACTAGGCTCTGGTGGAAAAAAAGCATGGCCTTCATCCATGAAAACGGAAGTTATCTCCAATGCCCCCAAACGGCACTTCCTCTTCTCATGAATAAATCTTAGGTACCTCGCGGGTCGATGGCAAGTAACCCGCGAGAAAAAATGTTCCCGGTATAAATACAAACACATGAATGGGAAGAGTGTGAAACAAACAAGGCGGCGTTTGCACGGCTGATTCTCGCACTCACCTTCACAGTTTGTGACTTGAGGGGATTCTCAGGATCAGGGATATATTCCAGTGTAACTCCATAGAACTGGCCCTTGTTGATGTACGTGACTCGGTCGTCCTCCCGCCGTTGACTCGTGGAAATCGGAGTTTCCAGGTAGTACTTGAACCCCACTGGTGAGAATCTGTAACAGACACATTGCAAACATCTTTTCTTTTCTCTTACTCTTCCTTCTCTTTCCTCGCCTTTGAGTCTTGCAGTTGGAAGGAGGAATTCCGAGTGGAGGAGTTTCACCTTCAAAATACGACGAGGATGAAAGAGAAGAGAGGGAGAGAAGGAAGGAGGAAATGCAGCAGGCTGCCTTATTGAGATCCTATCTGCACAAAAGCGTTTCTCTCTCTATGCTGATATCAAGGAGGAATCTCAGGACAGCCATGCGGCCAAGTCCTTTTCAAGGGAACGCCGAGAGTCCCATGACACTCGAACACATGTAGTCGTAAGCCATCGATTGGATATATTTTCTTCAGAGGCTAACATCCGGAAAAGGGTCTAAACTGAATGACTGACACTGAGAAGAGAGAGACTCGACAGAGTAAAGCTTAATGGAAGCAAAGATTCGGACTATAATTTGTACGGACTTGCAAGTCCTAAACTTGTCACATCACTGAATGACTAACGACTGCGTTCTGCGAATGATCCAGACTGCATAGTTCGCTTCAATCTCTGCAGCATCCCTCGTGGGCAAGCAGCGATAACGGAGATCGAAAAGGGATGAGGGGAGAGATGAGCATTCATTACGGACAAGAGGGATTGCATATTATTCAGGTGCAATGAAGGGTTGAGACAGAGAAGCATGAGTCGTGTTGTCAGGGCATGCATTTCCACTGGGCACTGGGCTCAAGGGGAGAAGAGAGAGCCAGGATCAATCATGTCTCAGACACATCCGAGAAAAACCTCATCCCTGTCAGTCCCTCTACAGCCTAGCCCAAGGGATTATTCCTTCCTGCCTTTTGGCTATGGTGCTTCGCTCCCCATCTCCGTGAGTGCAAGGAAAAAAGCAGAGTAGAGCGAGAGGGAGAGAGAAAGAGAGAGAGGGCAAATTCCAACTTACATTTTGGGAATGTGGACTTTATCAGCCTCAGACTGTCTGCCGAAGTCGTGCCAAGCTCTCGACCTGTTGGCGCCTTGATTGTTGGCATTGCCGGGCCCTCGGATCCCGGGCAACACGCCATCCGTCCCTGGACCCCCCGCCATCAACCCCCCCGATACTAGCTCGGAATAGTCGAACGTCTGCAGCAGATAAAAAAATAAACACGAATATATTAACATATCAGCACTTGGCATTATATCGAAAGAAAAATATTTTCATTTTAGCATCGAGGTTCATGTCGCAGAGAACTTTTTTCGGAAACTTATGTGAACCTTTTCGAGACTTCCAACTCTCAGATAGATCGTGAAGACCTTTTGGGAGAGCAAATGCGGAGAGGAACAAAACGTCGTTTTGCTCCTCTCCGCATTTGCTCACGATAGTGCGAGAATCAATTTACACTGGAACAGCATGACGCCACTTTACGTCAATACTTCGAGGTCAAGGGCATTTGCGTGCACGCTGAAAATGTTGGGGAACTCCATTGCGCATTATTTCAAGGGTCAGAATACTGGGAACAATTTTTTTTTTTCTAAAGCATCTTCTGCACATGGCGCATGGAGACACTCCCCGTCTCAGACCCAATATTGTCCGAAGCAGATAAAAATGATTCAGTTGAGACGATCGGTGAAAAGATGCATGATGCCTACCTGATGAATGGCATTGTGTTCCCGAGGTGTGACGGCTTCAGCTCCGATCCCGGAGTCTGGAGACGGGAGATCGACGGAAAGCACATGGCCAGGGGATTTATAACCGCCTTGAGGAGTCCTCAAGTACCTGTCTACAAATGCACTGCCAGAAGATGCCCCAACTCCTGCGGCCGATACGTCACCTGCTTCGTACGGCCGTAACGTGTACACTTCCCCGGCCGCATTTTGAGCATTGTAGTACTCGCGGTAATAGTGATCACTCGTACTCAGGGAGTATGGGCTGGGTCGGCTGCTGTTCACGCTAACACTATTGTTGTAGTGGACTAGAGCAGCCGCAGTTTCTGGATACGGGTGTCCGTAGGCAGCCGATGTGTACACGGCACCCAAATCCGGACTCCCGTCCTCGCGATGAGGTTCACTTTTCACATCGATGGGACTTGTGCTGGACTTGCCGGACTTAGAGCTTCGAAGGTCTTCGGGTTCTCGTTTGATGAGAGGCGAGCCGGCTCCCCCAGATACGAGCAAGGAATGCAGCTCCGTTTCCGATACTCCCGAAGCCGTACCGTTGAGCAACTTTGGACCCGTGGTTAGAGTTACCCGAGATCCCACACCTGGACTGAAAGCCGGAATCCTGAAATTTAATTCCCCTTCTCGTCTTTACGATATTCCAACGCCGAGGAAGAAAAAGGCGAAGGCTGAGAGGAGACTTACGGCCACATCTCGGAGAGTTGTTTCCCCCCGGACACGTTGGCTTTCTCGATCGGAACTTTGTAGTAGGGTTCATAAAAGATGGGCGCAGTCGGAGAATTCGAAGAGCCCTCGTCGTTAGCACCATTGATGTTGAGCATGGCAGACGTGGCAGCCGTCAACGGGTGTTCATGGTGTTCGTAGTAGGACTTCCAGGCTTCCTCCTCCGGCTCCACCGCCCCTTCCCCGCCGCCCACTGCATTCACGTTCGCCTCACCCGCCGCTTCATTCACGCTATCCAACACAGAACATTCAGGCTGATTCACGGCTCGCATCGAACGCAGACTAAATGGAATTCCCCATTCCGACGCGACCGTGTGCAAGTCGAAGGCTTTCTCTCTCGAGTGAAGATTGCAAATTCATCGGTTGCTGTTCCGGGAAGGCTTTATCTCGTGCCCCATGGGTTTAAGAGCAGAAACATTCAACGATAAAAATTGTTCAATTTTTTATATCACTTTTCTTAGGACCAGCACAATGTCTTATGACTTGACCAATCTGGTTACCGATAAACAATTCTAATCCGCTTGCGCAGGATCCTAGAGCCATGGCTTCGGATCGGCTGAGCTAAGTCGTATGTCTTCGAAGTCGAGAAAAGTACATAATTGTGGAATATAATGAACGTAATCTAAATTTAAAGGAATTTCCACCCCTTCATAACCCACACCACCACCACTACAAGGGATATTTGGAAATTTCACATGCTATCAGCTCAAAAATCTGGACAACCTCGGCGAGCACTACCGGCACCAACTAGTTCTAGAGTGCTTCTCAATGAGTTTTTTACTTGTACATATCGGATGGCACAACCGACAAGATGCTGGGCACCCGTTCTGTGATCAGTCGTGGCCCCCTCCCGTCGCACCACACCGTCCAGGGCTGCTGCTCGGAATATCGCGGCGATCAGACATGTTCGGATATACTCGGCTACTCTTTCCCGCAGGCTGTTTGAAAGGAGACAGCCCCGGGCGTTTGCGGGATCGCCGAAAATACAGTGGAAGGAAAACACCCTAGTCCCCAACGCGTTTTCAAAATGATGGGCGATTGCCGTATCGAAATTCGATTCTCCCATTGAATGAATCCAAGAATCCCATTTTCGAAACTATCGGAGTTCGTGGGGGAGTGAGCCCAATCACGAATCGAACGTTTGATCATTCGATTCGCCACTGTGTTAGCTTTCCCCGAGGAATTCCAAATCTCATTCGGAAGCCATAAAAATTTGATCTCAGGCCGGAAACCCTTCTTGACACCCTATTCCTGAAACCACATCAGCAATATATTTAAGAAAAACTAAGATTACCACTGATTCAAATACACTATGATTTGCTCTCATCTTCCTACGAGAAACAGAATTCGGTATGTTAAAAAATACCTAAAAGTACTCAGGGTTTTGGCATATTTAATTTTGACTTGAGAATTGCATTCCGAAATTCTAATCCTAATCTTATGCCCAGAATTCGATTTTGATTCGAATTCCCAGAAACTGAGGGCGATTCTGAGATGCGTCATGGAGATGCAGCACGCTCATGATTCAAGATTCGGGGTTCAGGCCCTCGGATATGCGATTCCCCTCATGGCTCAGTTTCCCTCATCGGATTTCTCGTCACTCTGAGCACAAACTCGAACAATACTTTTCGGGAAAGGGCGATTAACCTTCTGTTCAAAACAAAGTTTGGAAAACCGAAGAGCTTCAGCGGTAAAGCGCGGGAATTCCGGTCTCTCGAGCAGCGAGGTTCCATCGGTTGGTATTCCCACCCGACTCGGAAAATTTACGTCAGACTTCAAAGCGAAAATTTACAGCGGAAATTTTTGCACGCTTGTTGCAGTTAGAGACATGATCGAGCATACGCATTCTTTGCAGCTTAAATGCTCATAGAACAGAGAAATTCCACCGTGAAAAACGTGCTGCAGGACCAATTAGGAGTCTACATGCGTGTTTCAGAAAAGAAAAACTTCCAGGAAGAGATTGAACACTGCAAAAGGATGCGGTGTGATGGATGTGATGAAGGGGCAAAGTGCGATCAAGACTAGTTAAGACATCAGAGCCCAAGGCACAATTTTCTACTACCTGAATTTCGAATTAATGGACGCATCTGCTCGTTCCAGATTTACATTCTACTGCGCTGGTATCTACTGTATATCCAATTAAATAAACTAATTTAAAAAAAAAATTTTTAAACAGCATTCCCCCTTGCTTTCTGAGTGAATAGAGCTTCTTTCGTTTGTTGCTGAAATTACGCGCCGCGATCACGGGGAATTCTATACGATTGGAAAGCCTCCTTTGATCCCTTTTATTCAGAATAAAAGGCGTGACTCAGAGATTCGATAGGGCCATCAAGGGAAGACGGAAAGGGTCCGTCCCGCCCGCTGCTCCTCCGCCGCTGTTTTTTGATCGTGAATTTGTATCTTTGCGAAGAATCCCATCGGTTTCGTTATTTCGTGATGCACAAACGAGCAGATGCGCTCATTCGTTCAACATTCAGGAGTTAGAAAAGCTGAAGGTGGCCACTACTGGGTTAAGACAGGAGAAAGGCAGCTATGAAAAGTCGGAAGTCCAACTTGCAACTCGAAAAGCAGATGAAAATTTGAGGGAGGGAAGAAAACATGGGAATCCTCTCCAGAGTGCGTCGATGAAAGACTTACAGGGACTCGTACGTGGATGACAGCTGAATGCTCCCGCCCGACCTCCGAGTCATTCTGAGCAGCACTGGTCGGCCGTCCCGCGGGAGAGGCGTACCGCGTACGAAATGATCGTTTTGAAATGGGTGCCGCACGTTTTGTCGCTTGCGCCCAACAATACTCAACGGGCACGAAACTCACTGGAAAAAGAACTAACATTTCACAGGAGGGCCACAAAAGCTCCTTCTACAAAAAGTAAAAGTGTTCTATACAAAGATGCTGTTGCACCAGCAAGAACTGGTGACGAAAAAAGGCTGCATATTCCAAAGGTCTCGGGCTCATCAAGCGAAATGCAGTTGTACCACTTGATTCGAAAGAAAAATCTCGAGTAATTCTTTATGCTCGGGCGTGGCGTGGTCAACTGCAAGATAAAAAAAAAGGCCCTTTCACTGGTGCTGACATAATTTGAGGGATAGGGACTGACTTGCATTTAAAATTTGATATAAGATTCTGAATCCGGATCGAGGGTCTGCAGCATGCCTGCACACAAGAACGCGGGTTCTGTTCAAAGGAAGCTCAGTCGCAGGTCTATACAAATCAAACGAATAGGACGCTGCTGTCAGGACCCAGGAGGAAGGAGAGCATCAGTTCCGTGAGTCGAGAACGTGACGCAATTCTTTCCTTGGATATGGGTCTCCACTTAGGAAGCATGACAGAAGAAACACGCAGATGACAACTTTGAATCTTCGGGCTCACGAGAAATGGATTCATCCCCGTGAGAAGCGTCCGGACGGCAAGGTATGTCGTGGCGACAAGGGGCCGTGATATCGAATATGCAACCGGGAGATCTTCGATCGACATTGACCATGTTTTTCGGGGCTCGCAAGGCCAGGCAGGGGGAGCGGGTGCTTCGGTCGACGGGCTCGACGAGCCTCGCTCTTCCAAGTACCCGCAGCTACTGTAATCTCACTATTTAAGATCGCAGCGAGGATGGGGCATGGGCATGGGCATGGTAATGTCCGGGGGTTAAGAATTCCTCTCACGCACACAGACAATGTATAGGGAGACCGAGTGTGCAAGGCAAAGAGGCAAGGCAACCTACACACTAGACGGTACTGGCGTAAAACCAGGCTCATTCTTTTTACTGCTATCACCGTTTTTACTCCTGTCTTCCACGTGGAGCCACGGGTAAGCCTTTATAAGACAATCGTATGAAGCCACGCAGATAGACCTAGGTGGGCCCTCTCTTGCCCCTTTCAAGGACATATGCACTCTCTTTTCTCTCTCCTGTAGGCTTATTACACTATGCCACGTGAATGCCATCCTTCCTCGTATCGACGTACCTGCTATAAGCCATGCTTCATGTCCGACGGCGTCATCCACGTGGAAGAAAACTGCTATACACGCACGCACTCTTCGTAAGAGAAATCCGCTGTCTTTGTCACCGAGGTTTCTCACAAGATCGCGTCACCAATAATGAAAGGAGTGGGAGTGCGAGACGGAGACGTATAATACACAGAAACACAGAGACCCAGACGGACACGGACGGACAGTGCTGCTCCCCTGCCTGGCTGGGGTCGAAAGGTCAAAAACCTCCTGCCATGAAGGGCCTCCAGAGGCTTCTTCTCCTCACACTCGGGATTTGCTCCAATTAAAGCTTGTCAATCATGAGGGGTGACGTAGTTGGATCGCCCGCCGGAGGCGGTAATAAATCGAATAATGGCTCCGGTGTTCGATTCCTTCGTTAGCCTCCTCTCCGTGTCACCCACACGGAAGCTCCTCCTTTCCCTCTGCGAAAGTCCTCCCCAATCCTCCTGGCACATTGATAATCAAAGCACGATTTATGAGAACGAAAAACTGATTCTGCCTCCTTCACTTCCTCCTCGTTCGATATTGCGACCTCAAATGTCTCGTTTTGCGGAGGTGGAAACGATCGCCGCGATATTTAGGGGAACAGATGACTTCAAGGATCATGGCAGCTTCAAGGAAGCTCTCGATTTCAAATGCCTGCTAATGCAGGTTGTATGCTTCTCTTCATGTATGAGTTGATTCGGTGAAAGGGATGTCCATCGTGTCCAGAAACGTTTTGTTTTCTCCTTCTCTTCGCTCGTTCGCCATACTTTAGATTTAAAAAAAGGAGTTTATGCTGAGCTGCATGCGAAAACCGCTGTTGTCGCACTTTTGGACTGAGGGGAAGGAGACAATTTCAGACCTTTTTTTAAACAAGGGCTGTATGTGAGGTTTCCTGTTGCCACCTGGCTAAACCCACTCATATGCACAATGGATTCACGTTTCTCTTCGCATTGACAACATATGCAATGCAGGAGAAAGGTTTCATGTCGCATAATCTCGAACTCAATGAGCAAGCGTAAGCGCATCTTTCGCAGTAAGTTACAAGTTCCTTTGATACACTGTTTCTCGCCAGTTTTCCCTCTCGCTATTAGGATAAAGGAATTGGTCTTGGAAGTCTTTCGCGATCTGACATATGAAGAAATTCCTTCTGAGGGGACGAAGCTACTGTCTCCATCATGTTCTAGTTGGAGCCCCGCATCGGCCAAGGCAGCCATTTCGGTCAGAAGTTGATGGAGCCGGAATCCATCACGAGTTCGACATTTTAATCATTCGCTTTTGTCGCTTCCTGAGTCAAAAGAGTCCTCCT